AGTGCCCGAGCGCTCAAGAATGTCAGCGACAGGGTCATGGATGTGGGCAACGACGATGACGATGACGATGAATGACCCAAGTCCTCACCCCCCCCTCCCATCAGACAAGTGACAGCAACGTGGAACAAATTACGAGAGAAGATATTCTTCCCTTCTCCTGTCGAGATGCCTGAGCCTCGCGAAATGTTTTTGGAAGCTGTCTGCTTCTACCCAAATCTCGATGTGAAATGTACATACTGCACACTCTTAAGTTGCCTTTGAACTTTGCTCCTCCGCGTCAAGTCAACTAGTCTGTGTGCAGAGATTGAACCTCTCGCTGTCCTGCCTAGGGAGAAGTGGCATCGTTTTGATGTCGTGATCCCGTCTTGGGCGTCAACGCAGAGACTTGTCAGTGGCCCCTGGCCTTTTCTGCCCGGATTGCCATTCTGGTATTTTTCGGTGCAAACCCGTGGGCCTTTTCCTTCTTCTTTGCTAGGTATTGCCTACGCCTTCTCAGGTGTATGCATGGCACGGCTAGTATTGGCTCCTTTTCAAGCCACTGATACATTTATCTATCCTCAGTCTCTGTTCTCTTTGTTGTATGATACTATGTGTATGCGTAGCTTCTACACCCTTGACACGACTACTATACGACTATTCGTACGAGTATCAGTCGACTTTAGTTGGACGGAAAAGAGCCTCATCCAAGTGACTTGGCTCGTTAATCCGTCGTTCTAGACAATCACAGGCGTAAAATGGACATACGGTTGCATGAATTTGTATGTCTTGGGAGTCTCGTTACGGACCCTGGCAAGTTCACGTGGCATTTGTTGGATTCAAAAAGAAGAAAAAAAGGAGGAAGAGGTGAGGACCTTGACAAGGCGGTTAAGAAAGAGTACGTCAATGCATTAAGCTTTTATTTGATTTCCCGATACCATTAATTCATTTTCTGTGTTAACCCCCCCCCCAAATTCTTTTCTATCTCTTTCCTCCATGTGTCATAATATCTCTTTCATTTATTTTATTCTTCTCTCTTTTTTTTTCCCTCTTGCTACTTACTTAGTAGATAAAACCGGACACGCGCAGGCCAGGGTTTATCTTCAACGAGAGTCCCGAACTAGAGCCTTAGTTACTTAGCAGCGACCATTGATTGAACGACAGCCTCTTCCCAAAAACTCCACCACAGACATATTCCTGCGGGCTCACATTGCGACAACCGACGACTACGATCCCCGGCCATCACCCGCTCTGTCCCCTGTCGCTCGTTGCAGACGAAAGAACACCACCGGCGACGAGACGAGGCGATAGCGCACGTCTCCATTCGATCCGAGAGAGGGAAAATAAGGGGGGAAAACATACCCTACGATCGATACGGAGTGGGAGAGACGAAAGGGAGCGGATGAACTCGCCCTCACTCCCTCCCCCCCCCGAGCCTCTGCGTCTACCTAAGGCTAGTCGACGAAAGATAAAAGAAGAATTACTATTTAAAGAAAATAAACATAAAAAGAATTGAGGCATCCCTCAATCGACAAGACGAGGGTAAAAGGAGGAAGCAGAGCGGCAAGAGGAAGAAAAGATGCATTTCGCATATCCAGCACGCAAAAACTCGAACCCGCCGCCGTTCCGTCCACGGCCTTCGCGATCCGCCCAGCTGCTGCGAAGGACGCGGCTGCGGACAATCATCCTGGGCCTGGCGGCCATCCTGGGCATCCTGTACCTCCTGTCCGGGACGACCAAGCCTGATCCCTACAGGGAGCACGTGCCGTCCGGATCGCCGCCCGTGGTCATCGTCACGGTGGTGGACCCTACGACGTACAGCAGCTCGTATCTGAAGAATGTGGAGGAGAATCGCAAACTCTACGCCAAAAAACATGGTCAGTACCCTCTCAAGGGGAGGAGAGGTTGAAATTGTAGGAGGGGAAAGAAGAAGAAGGAGATTGTTTTCTTTTCTTTTCTTTTCTTTCTCTCTCCTGTCCTTTATTCCCTCATCGATCAAACTGACGAGGGCTCCCTACAGGCTACGAGACATTCATCGTCAAGGCGCACGACTACGATACGGGAGGCTACCAGCAGTCTTGGGCAAAGGTCATGGCCATCAGACACGCCATCTCGACGTACCCGGACTGCAAGTACGTCTGGTTCCTGGGCCAGGACGCCTTCGTCGTCGAACCGGGCTGGTCGCTCGACAGGCTCCTCCTGGACCAGCACGTCCTCGAGGGCCTCATGATCAAGGACTACCCCATCGTCCCGCCCGACAGCATCATCAAGACCTTCTCCCACCTCGGCGGCGACGACGCCCACCTCGTCATCAGCCAGGACAAGGACGGGCTCGTCGCGGACAGCCTGATTGTGCGGAATGGGGAGTGGGCCAAGTTCTTCACCGAGACGTGGCTTGATCCGCTGTATCGGAGCTATAATTTTCAAAAGGCCGAGAGGCATGCCTTGGTGGGTTTTTCTCTTTTGTCTTCTTCTTCTTCTTCTTCTTCTTCTTCTTCTTCTCCTTCCTCCTCCTCCTCCTCCTCCTCCTTGTCCTGATCTCACCACACGCATCGAGGGGAAGATGCTAACTGGAATCGATAGGAACACATGGTCCAGTGGCATCCCACCATCCTGTCCAAGGTGGCGCTCGTGCCTCAGCGCAAGATGGCGGCATACGTCTACTCCAACCTCGGAGACGCCTACCAAGAGGGTGACTTTGTGGCCATGCTGACCGGATGCTCCCCGCAGGGAGAGAACAGCTGTGAAAAGGTATCGGAGTGGTACTGGAACAAGTTCCAAGAGAGACTGGCGGCTATCTGATCGGACCGGATCAGCTTCGACGGCCAATTCCTTTTTCTCTCTCTGCTTTCTTTTCTTAACTTCAGTTTAAACATGCACACACACACCCACACCCACACGCACGCACACGCACGCACACACATATACACATACACGTACACATACACACAATCTCGGGGCGAAGATGGCGGGTGGGAGGATAAAACCAAAAGGCTGGAGCTTTAGGAGCATGGTATTTAATTGCTGGCGTTTTTCTTTTTACCTCTTTTTTTTTTGCCAATGTTTTTCATCTTTTTTTTTTTTTTTTGATAATAGGAAGGCAGGGGAAGGAGGGATGATGTATGGATGTATGGATTATTATATTTGACCAGAAACAAAAGATGATGATCAAAAAAGGATCTAGTTTGTAGTATATATATCCTATCGGGAGGATTGGGGGGGAGTTTCATTATATCTTGACAGGACCGATTCGCCGAAAGCATGTACTTTGTCGTATCTATCTGCGGCATGTTGGGGTCACATTTAACATCTTGACATGCATCTTGGGAGATGCCGAGGCTGAAGAGCAGCAATCATGAGCAAGTTGAGAAGGTGGCAGTATGATTGTGATCTCGCCTGCATATACAAGTCTATCAATGTATTACATGATGCCGTTCAAATATTAACTCGATAGATTATAACTCGCCAGATATCGACTATTAATACTACGTAGTATTACTCCGTCTTGATACTCGTAGTCATCAGATGCGTAACGTAATCAAGACAATTGGCGCATGTGATTTGGGCTGGGCAATAAGAACGAGTCTCCACCGGAGCGACAGCAGCATCGCTCCGTCCCCTGCGATAAACCGAGCCATTCCCCATTCCA